CCCATATCTCAAGAACTCATCAGTCATGGGCATCCTACAGTGTTTGTTTGTGTATTCTTAAGTGCAAAAAGGTCATGGGGGCTATATTGTCTGACTTCCTCTAAATTCATGAATTGGGGAAAGAATCACCAGCAGCAGCCCAAGGCTGATTCCATGAGATGAAGGTAAGACATGCCATTATCCTTCAACCTTTTTGCCAATTCTGACACCAACGATCCCTCCCATGGCACTCTCTACTTCTCTGCTGGGTTCAATTATTCACTGCAATGGCCATATAGAACTCACAGACAATACTTATGATCATGAGGTTTTTTAGGGAAGTGACAAGTTACAACTCAGGATCAGCAACTAGTTAAGAGTACAGTTCTTCAATCACGAAAGCCTCTTCTCAGCAGTGCCTCTCTCTGGCCCTCAGCCTTTCAGCTCTGTGGTCCCTTAGCCTCTGGCCTTCTCAGGCAACTGTTGCAAAGCTCCTTCAGCTCTTCTGATAGGTTCCCAGAGAAACAGCCCACTCAGCCAGCAAGCCTCCTGCCCAATGGCACTCAGCTTTCGCACTCTGTCCCATGTCAGGCTCTTGGTCCACTAATTTCTTGCTTCTTACTGTCTGTGGTGTCGAAACTCTCCCTCTCCTGGCTCAAGGAAGTTCAGCCCATGGATCTTGGGTTCAAGTACGATCTCCACTCCTGACTCTTCTTTCTTGACAGTAGTGAGATTCCCCTCTCCACCTCTGGGATGGCTCATCTTAAACCTAGCAGATGCAAATTGACCAATCCCCACTTTAGGGTTCTATACACTTATTTTCATGGTTCTACTCCCACAAGGTGCCATGTATCTTATTTATATTATTAGCAAGCTATCCAAATCTTTGGTGGGCCATAAGCAACTCACATTTGCATAGTCCCATGCAGTCATCTGGTGGCAGTCACAAACACCATGGTTAGAAGGGCCATATTAAGTATTTCAATGTACCACAGTAAGAAAGGATGCAATAAAGAACTAAGAACTGGGAATACAAAGCCTTGGCCTCTGTCCTCAAAGAGAACAGAATATGTCATAATTACAAAAGTATGTGAGGCACTTGAGGAGACTGAAGTGTTTGACGTGTTTGGATCTTAATTGTGGTGATGGTTTCATGGGTATAATCATTGGATGAAATTCACCAAATTGTATACACTTTAAATATGCAGTTTATTAGACATAGGTTATACATGAATAGAAGGAAATCTGGTGGTGTAGTGTCTAAGGCATTTGACTGCTAACCAGAAGATTGGCAGTTCAAACCCACCAACTACTCCGCAGAAGGAAGACTGGGCAATCTACTTCCATAAAGATCGATCGTCTCAGAAACCCAAATGGGGTTGCTATGAGTTGGAATCGACTCGATGGCAGTGAGTTTGGTTTTTTGAATACTTGAATAGTATATATAAATAATATAAATATATAT